CTGCCGCTGCTGTTGCCACAGCCTTCCTCTCACTCGAGACCCGGTAGCCCTGCGTCCTCTCCCCATCCTACCTCTGCCGTTGCAGGGTGCTTTCTTGGTATGAACAAAATAAAATACAAGTCTTGTGTGGCTTGTTCATCTAGATCCTATGTGTTTTATCCTTGCTGCTTGTTCCTTGTTTCCATCACAACTTTGATTTGGATGCCAGAGGGATGAACAGAGCCTAAATCATTTACATCATTTCCCCCCCTGACAAACAGCCATTTTAATAAGCAGTGAGTGTTATGTGGCAGAGACCCACTCACTCTGCCTACACAGGGCTGCTAAACTCAGGTGATCTTGCTGGAGGCACTGAGTCATTTCTCATATCAAAGTTCCTTCTATTTGTTTATTTGTTCAACAGTATTTACTTATAAAATGTTAACTCCTCTTGAGGCACTCTGAGAAGTCCTTTTCTTCCTAGTTAATTAAATTTGTCATCCTCAAATACATGGTTCTCCTTCCTCTGCTAAAGCTGGTCTCTTCTTTATTCCAGTGTTTCTTAAAAATCTAAAAATCTCAGGGTGCTTTTTAATGCACAGTTCTGGCTCACACTCCCTGGAAATTTGATCTAGTTCATCTTGGCTGGGCCCAGGAGTCTGCATTTTTTGAAAGCGGTTTCTAGGGCATGCTCAGAGCGCACTCACTCAGCTCACCTAGCGGGCCACCAAACTCACCTGCTTCCCTCAGTCTTCTGGCCTGGCCCCACTCACTCCAACATTTATCCCCACTCCATTTACCAGAGCAGCCCCAGGGGCTTCATCTGGCACAGTAGCTAAGAATACAGTCGTTGTCATGTGTCCTCTCTCAGCCTGGTTCTGCAAAACAGGGAAATGTTGAGATTGGAGATTACAGGTACGGAGCTTGGTACATAGAAAGCACCCAATAAATGTCAGGAGTGGTCGTTACCACGGATACTTCCCTCTGACCTCTCTACTCACAGTGGGCTGACACCTGTGTGCTCCTCCCCTCCCTACCCTCCTGCCTAGGCCAGGTGCACTGGAACTCTCATTTGGGAAGGGTCCCAACCCACCTCATTATCATGCATTATCACCTCATTGTCATACATTAGCATATTGACCTTCTCAAACATAGC